ACCCAGGCGCCCCTGACATACATTTCTAAGCAGATAACACATAAAGAGGACTGAGAAGTTTTAGTTCTTTACTCAAGTGATGGTAATATGAACAGGATGTAGGCAAAATGAAACACAAGAAGTAGAACTTTAAAAACAAACACTCAGCTTACTCTTTATTATCCATGGTAATGTGATTAGCATGGACTTCAGCCAAGTCTTCCAACTATGTTCCTCATTAACGATGTAGAGAAATTCTTAACAAGGAACACAGTTTCCATGTGGTTGTGTACACGATGCCAAAGATTCATATAAGAATAAAAACCCAGTAGATTATTTGGGAATCTCCCCAAATCTAAATATTTGGCATTGTATAAGCAAAGCCACTGACTTATTTTCACTTTTGATGTAGACGTTTTGGTAGCTATAGCCAGTAATATGTTCTTTTTTCCTTCTGATAACTTGGTGTTGTTTTGCATCTATTGATCAAATGTTTATTGAATCCCACTCTATGCTCAGCCATGCCTAATTAAATTAGCAATGTGGTACCCAAATTTTGATAGTAATACAGAAGAGGAGAAAAATAAATATTACTTCTGAACTAAGGAAATTCAGAACAAAATATAATCCTATTTGCCATGCAGAATTGAACCTGAAACTTGATGTTGACAGGTTGAAATCAGTAAAGAGGATGTGCCTCGAGAGTTCCACTTTTGATAATGGCAAATTGAACCTCATTCCTTGAGAAAGTATAGAAAATGTTAAAAAATAAAATCTATTTTAAGGCACAAAACAGCTAAAAACAGTGCAGAATTAAGGAACTAAGATCAGGACGAGAAGAAAACCCACCAATATGAGCCCCAAACTGGGGAGTCAATTTCCCCCTTTGGGAATCTTCCTGTGCCATCTCTAAATAAATAAGCAACAGAAGTGCATGTATTTGACCACCAAAAGACATGTAAGGAATGTTCAGAGGAGGATATTCTTACTATGGAAATAGCTCAAATATCCATCAATAGTAAAATGGAAAAATAAATATATTTGCTGAACAGAATACTATAGAGTGTTTTAAATGGATAGATTCACAAAAAGGATGTTGAGCATAAAAAGCCAGATATAAAACATTGTCTACAAATCTACATATATAAAATTAAAAAAAACAGGCAAGACTAATTCATGGTATTCTACATCAGGAGCAGGGAAGAGGTAATGATTAGAGGTCTGACTTTGCATCTTACCTGCCATTGGTCAAGACTCTAGTGTATCTCTAGAATAAGGGAAAAAAAATGAGTTTTCCATAAGGTACAGAACAGAAACCAAGTTTTCAATGGGTTTTGGGTCCAAATTCTGGGTGAATAATTCCTTACTATTCCTTACTTTGTCATAGTTCTCTGTACATTAATTTTCCTCAGGGACTTCTAAAGGAAGAGCAGTATAATCACCATCAAGGCAGGCTTAGGCCTCCTGGGTTGCCTATTTTTTTTTTCTGGGTTGCCTATTGAAATATCATCTTATTACTGCACCATTTCATCACTTCCAAGAGTCACATAATTACTGTCAAGAGTTGATGTAAGCCATCAGGTCATTTTACTGAATGCTACTTTCATTTATCTACACTTGGATAGCTTTATGATGGAACAAAAGTTAGCTATTAAGAAACAGAGAAATAAATTTTAAAAATAAGAAGGATAAGAATACTCATATTATTCCAAATTGAGTTTTTCATTCAATGTTCCACATACACAACTCTAAACTTTGTATCATTTCTATGAATATCATTTAGGATGGCAATAATAAGCATACATCTGAAATTGCCTTTTCCCTCTTAATGAGCTCCCCTCCTGATGCAAATACTATGGGTGATCAGAAGCCCAGATGAACTGGCAGACCCTTGCTTGAAGAGTTTAATATTGAAAAATAAAATAAGCAGAGTTTTGAAATAATTACATAGCAATTTTATTGTTTGAATTTATATGGCAAAGACAGATCTGATCATATTTGACATCTTAGTTCTTTTGTTATTTCCTTCTGTGTTAAGCTGTTATTATCTCTCTTAACCTCCTAATGGGAGAATTATATTTGAGCAATTGCCTCTCAGCAACATTTATAAAAATGAGTATAGTACTCTGAAAATACTTCCCTCTGTAGCTCATTAAAGGCTCTTTTCTAACTTGTTCACATGGACTATGGATTATTTAGCTTCCCCATAACTGAGCAGTAGAATTTACCAAACAATGGCAAGCTATTTATATATTTTCCTTTTTGTTACAAAATGCAGACAGGTTCATGCCTTTTCATTGATAGTGTTATTAAAGATTCAATACCTCTTGTGAATAACAAAGGTGTGATTTATATAGTTAAGTACCAAAATTGATAAAGTTTTTAAAAAATCTTTCTTCCCACTGTGAATGCATTAAAAAGACCCTTTCTTTAGCTCATCCACAAAGAAATGTATAAAGTATTAAAATTGCTGTGACCTGGAAAATCATCCAAATATGACATTCAGTGTGTAATATGTATGTATACATACGGATTTGAATGAGTTATAGAAAGAAATATATCTATGTCTTTATCAAAGCTATTATCTATATAGAAGAAAAAACCTGTAGAGCCTATGCTCACTCACCCCTTTCCAGCACATAATAGCTACTTAAAAACTGCCTTTTAGAATAAGGCTCATTGTTAATTTTGAGAAGTAAGAAAATGAATCTTGAATTTAAGACTTTAAAACTTATTTAATATTCTTGACATCCTATTTCTAGGTGCTACTAATGTTAGGTCTCTTTTGGATTGTAAGAGTCACACAAAATTTTTCTGATGTCTTCTTTTTCCTTATAAGCCAAGAGATGGAAATGGTTCAGTTCTCTGCTCCCAAAAACATCACTGCAATAATCTGAATTTCTTCCCATTCCTCTCTCTCACCAAGTCATTGGTGGACTCTTTTTTTCTTCCTTTTTTAATTGTCTTATCTCTTGCTAAACAGCTCTTGAGAAAATTTGCACTGTCAAACAGTGCTCTGAAATGTTGTATAGGATTTTTCTCTAAATCCCCATAATACTTTAAACTGGGCCTGACCCCCTCACCGCATTGGTGTTTATGGCTGTGGTATGTGTGAGTACTCAGAGTTTTCCCTCCTGACCTTCATGAGCTTCCTCTATCATACAGCAGTAGTTATTTAGGTATTTTAGTCATTGCTGTTTTTATTTTTTCATTCTGGCTGAAAATTCTTATTCATTTAAGTCCTTGTTCAAGTATCACTGTGCCTGTGATCTCTTTAACATTCTTTGTACAGTCGGTTACATTTTCCTCTGTACTTTCATAGTACTTGGTTTATCACTCAGCAATTTTGTTTTCCCACTAGGTTTGGAATCCTGGAGAGCAGAAACAATGTCTTGGTTAATTTGAATCCCTTAGTACAAAAAAATCATACATAGTAGACACTCAATTCTTGCTGAATAAATGAATAAGCCAATAATAAGCTGTAAGAACAAGGCAGGGATACATATCTTTCATTGTATAATCTTTACAACAGTATATCCAACCCATGTACCATGGTCCCTGGGATGGCAATGGTTATTTCATGGGGATTACACAGTTGGCAAACTTATTTTTGCTGGTTCAGCATATACTCATACTTCTTTATTTTCCATGGGTAGTCCCCCTCCTCACTTTTAGTTCATGAGGTTCATGTAGATTTAAGATTCTAGGAGTGATTTATGAATTATCCAGCCAATCAGAACATCACATTCTCTGATCTATAGTGATTAGCTCAGGAATCTTGATATACAATTCTAGGACAGTGTTGGTAAAGTGAAACTAGAAGACCTCTTTACACTGCAACAGTGGCCACTAGGTGGAGAATAAAAATCAAGTGAACAATAATAAAAAGAGAAAAAGCCTAGAGGTGGAGAAAGAACAAGCTTTGATGATATCATTTGGAATACTAGGCCTAGCGCTGTGTTTTAAAACACATCTGCCGGACTTTTCAGTTATGTAAGTGAAAATCTTTTTCTGTTTTGCTTGGACCAGTTTGAGTGATTTTTCTGCCATTTGCAACTTAAAAAGTCCTGTCTAATATAGTTTTTAACAATCCAAATTTGCACTAAGCTTTGTCTAGAGATTAAATATATATGTATTACACACACATACAGGTGTATGTATATACTTGTATGTGTATATATATGTGTGTATATGTGTGTGTATATATATATATATGCTGTTATTTTTCAAATATATGCAACACTACTATAATAAATAAAATACATAAAAAATTGTGCGTAAAGTGTTACTGACTTTAGGCCAGCTTGGTTATGCATTCTCTCACTTGATAGACTCTAAAGGTCTAATAGCATCCCTTGAGGTCTGCCTAACTTTTAATACTAAAAACATTGTCATATTCAGAATCTTTGTTCTCACTGATTTGCAACATCTGCTCCAGTCCTGAATCTATGCCCCATGTCTGGTAAATATATATTGATTGATTTCAAATATAAGAGACATTTTCTCCATTAGCTTAATGATAGTACTACCTTGAATCATATGATATTGTTGATTTGCAACCATTTTTAGCCAAAAAAGGACAATTTCATATGGTTCAACCTAATAGTGAAATGAATTCACAAATCTATCAATGTATTTTTACCGTTTTTACCCTGTACAATACAATATTATTCCAACAGAAGTAGAAATAGCAATTTTATGAGTATTGGTTATCTGACTCACCTTACTTTTTTGTTCAAACTGACTTATGTGTTTAGACATAGCCTAAGAGACAGAAATCATCTGGGAAATTAATTTCCATTTCTAGGTGTGAAATAGCCATTTCAGATATTTGAAAACCAGTAGCTCTTTCTCTACCATTTAAACTCACTTTCTTTTCTTCTTCCAATTTGATAGATAAACAATGGCTGTGTAAGGTTTTGTTTTTGTTTTTTGTTTTAAATAATTATGTGATATGTTACTCTGGGGAAATGCTTGTAGATATTTTTTATCTTAAGCTTTCAAATCCTTTTCCTGCTTACCTTTTCCCAGAAACCTTTACCATCCTATCTGTATCTCCTTCTAATTCATTATTCCTTTTTCTCCTCACTGTGATATCTGAGATATCATCTGGAATGAAAATGAAACTTGCCCTGCAATTTTGAGAATAAAAGAAATATAAAACCAGTGCCTACTCCCTTTTACCTTCACCTCAACCCCTCCCCAGCACATTGTTTTCTGCTAATTGTCACAGTAACAGCCATGCTGATTATTTATTTGCCACCCCTGTGAGGACTACACGTTCTGTTTCTTCACAGTGCCCAGGGTGCTTGTGGAACAAAAGAACACAGCTTATAAGAGGTTTGTGTTTAAGCAGAAAGTATTCCCAAAATTCTAGATGCAAAATATAGTTTGTTTTGTATTCCTGAAGACCCTTATGTACTGCCTGAATCTTAATTATGCTTCCCAACATTTGCAAAATTAAAACCTCAAATGAAACATCTCATTAATGTAGCTCCTTTGCAATGTATCCATTTGTTTCAAAAATGATAAAAGGGGAAAATTATGCATTTCAGGAAGTACTTGGTCGTAATACCAACTCACATTTATTTGAATGTCTTAGAAAACAAACTGCAAAGCCTGTTGTGGAAAGAGTGTGGAATAGAGGAAGTCAACCAAGTGAGTAAACATGAAATGGAGGATTATCCTTATTTGTGGAGAATCCATTCCAGCAAGAAATTGAATCAGGGGCTTCTGCATCTAAAAGAGTGGGGCTAGTCATAGAACCAGAGGGAAATGACTTTTTAGATGAGAAGTAGACTAGACTAAGGGCTATGAGACCGTACGGTCTAGTGGGCTGAGACTTGCAGAGGATTCAGAGATTGGGGTTAAATCCCACTTCTGTTAGTTGCCAGGTTTAAGGAACTTACTGTAATTCAGCAGACTCATACTGAGTCCTGACTGCTGCTAGGCCCTGAGCCAAGTACAAGGACTTTGTTCACACAATTAGATGCTTCTATCCTACAACATCAATTTTTTCCTCTTACCAGGTTATTCCATCAGCATGCACACATGCCCTAGTAGCACCCATCTTTAAAAACCCTCCCTGGCCCACAAACCCCTCTAGTTACAATCCAGTTTCTCAGTTTTCCTCTTTAAAACTTCTTGAAAAATTTATTTCTACTCTCCTGCCTCTCATATCCCCCCACCCCCAAGGTTTTAGAAAAGTAGTGCCATGAAGTAGTAAAGACTCAATCCTGGAGTCAGCCTTTATTCAGTCTAGGTTCAAATTCCAGCACTGTGAGTAACTCTGAGGCTAGTTATTTGATGTCTCTGTGCCTCAATTTCCTTAACAGTAAAATGGAATAAAAACTGTATCAAATTCATAGTTCTACTGACCTCTTCCTGAGCTTTAGATTTTTCATTTGCAACTGACTTCTTTTTTTATTTAAATTCAATTAGCCAACATATAGTACATCATTAGTTTCAGATGTAATGTTCAATGATTCATTAGTTGTGTATAACACCCAGTGCTCATCACATCACGTGCAACTTATTTCTTAAGGTCTTTTCTTAAATAGGCTGCTCACATTTAAAATGGCCACAAAAGATCTCTCTCTCTTTTTTTAAAGATTTTATTTCTTTATTTGACAGAGAGAGAGAGAGAGAAGAGCACAAGTAGGCAGAACGACAGGCAGAGGGAGAGGGAGAAACAGGCTCTCCGTTGAGCAGGAAGCCCAATGTGGGGTTCCATCCCAGGACCCTGGGATCATGACCTGAGCCGAAGGCAGACGCTTAACTGACTGAGCCACCCAGGTGCCCCCACAAAAGAGCTCTTGATTTCTGTTTCCTGAAAGCTGTTTTTCAAGTAACATCTCAAAAAAATGGCATCTGTCTATTGAGGTTTTATTTTTCCCTCATCTCCCAAATATATCCAGCAACAACCTAGCAGACTCTACCTATAAAAAAAACTTCTCTCCATCTCCACTGTAAACATTCTAGCCTGGTTCACTTTCATTCCTCTCCTGGAACCCACCATAGACTCCTGACTGCTCTCTCTGCTTCCACTCTTGCCCCATATTAGCCTATTCTCTACAATACATTTAGAATAGTCTATGTTAAAAACATTAACTTACTAAGATGTAATCTTCATAAAGGCAGGATCTGTTTTGGTAACTGCAGTATCCCCAATGCCTAAGAACTGGCATATAGTATATGTTCTATAAATATTTGTTGAATGAATAAATAAATAAATCAGATCATGTTTCTCTCCTGCTTGAACATCTCAGTGGCTTACTATCACATTCAAAATAAAATCTGAACTCCCAAATGGTCCATGCACCATATATGAACCGGTTCTTGTTAAACTGAGATTTTATCTTCTATCACTCTATTATCCAGTATGCTCCAGTCACCCTGGTCTTCTCTCTCTCTCTCTCTCTCTGTGTATGATATATATATCTTTTTCATTCCAATTTAGGGATTTTTCACTTTCTCACTTGTTATTTCTCTGGAATTGTATCCCATTCATATCTTCACCAGGCTAGCTCCTTTATAGTATTCAGATCTCAGCCCCGTATATAAACTTCTCACGGAAGTCTTCCAAAACCAACAATCAAAATTAGTCCCTCCACCCCCAATAAATTTCTGTCACATCGACACATTTTGTAGCACATTTTTATATATCCAAAATTATTTTGCTTGTTTGTTTTGTTGTCTTATCTCCCCCTACCCCTTACCCACATCTAATCTGTATGCTTCATAAGAGCAGGAGGAACCTTTGCCATCTTGTTTAATCTTGTATTGTCAGCACTGAGCACAGTACCTGTACACAGTAGGTATTCAGTAAGTGTTGGCTGAATAAAGGGCAGTCACTGTACAATGTTCTCACTATTTACAAGATGCACTTCAATGGAACTCAAAAGACACATCACCTTCACAGTCATCTGAATCAGGAAGATTTCTGACAAACAGTGACAGTACCCACTATTATACCTTTAAAATTAGAGAATATAAATGTGTTTGTACTCACACAATCAGAGCAGCCTATCTCAAATGTATTCCAGGGAATATAAATTCCCTTGGAATGTTAATAAGTAAGCTGTAAATTGTCAAAGGAGGTGGTGAAATACTTCGTTGGAATTGAACAATCATTACAGAACTTTGAATGTATTTTCTGCATCTTTAAAAGTGGGAGGTACTAGAATTCTGAAAAATATCCTTTTAGGAAAACACTGAATTAAAGAATCCAGTGATTATAGGGACCATTACAATGCCCTCCTCATTCTTCTTAAACTTGTTCTTTTTAGTTTTGAAATAATTAGGGACGTCCTCTATTTTTGCTCTGCCAATGTTCTCCACTGTCCACCACCTTTCAAAGATCTCTGCTGGTATCGTTGTTCTCTCCCTAGACATCCTGGGCTTTTTGAGGTACCTGACATTTCCGACATCTTATTTCTAAAATTCCACCCTTTTTCGTTTATCCCTGTGACTATTCCTTTTTCCCTTCTCTAAAAGCTTCTCATCCTGTATCGGCTGTTCCTCCCACTGCTGTTTCTATTTGGACTCTTTACATAGAGTAAAGTCAATTAATCCCAGAGCAATAGCTATCACCTCTTTGAAATATATAATTAGCGCTTCACAACTTCCAAAGATTCCAGGGCACTACGAGTCATTCAAAAACAAACAAACAAACAAACAGCTTTTGAGCATTTATTACGTATTAAGATCTGTGCTTAGTGAAATGGTACTAAGGTGAGTAGAATGGTCATAAGCCTTGCCCTTACTAAACCTATAGTCTGAGGTGGTGACAAAATGAAAAAGGCAATTCCTATGAAAGAGAAGTAAGTGTAAGGAAGGAAACAAGTGCCTTTGGAGCACAGAACGGAAGAACCCTAGCCTGATCTGAGAGGACAGGTGGATTAGAGAACGTGTCCAAAGGAAAGTAACATTCATGCAATTTCCAAATGCCCTATACCATACTCCTCACAATTTCCCATAAAGTAAGGATGATTACTTCACTAGCGTTTCAAACACATATGGTTAAGGTCAGTTTCAATCTTTGCATCTTGCTGTGTGTATCACCATTTACCCTGACACCCAGGCTGAAATCTTGATATTTTTCAATCCCTTTTTCCTCCTTCCCTTCAATTTGGACTAGTTACCAGATCCATTCAATTTCACCTCTACCAGAGTTTATAATCCTTACATTCTGTTGCTTTCTCATTGCTACTGTCTCAGTTCACACCCTTATTACTTCTGGCCTGGGCTATTTTAACTTTCTCCTAACCTACGGCAAATGTTCCTGTACTAAGTCACTCTCTATAACATTGCCAGAAGGTTTTTTTTTTTTTTTTTTTAATTTATCTAATGATGTTCCGAGTCTGTAGTCCATCCCCTTGCCTGTTAGCTAACAATGAGATAGGGCACGCTCTCTCCAACCACCAATGTACTCACAGAGGCTTGGGTGCTTTGAGGAACGTTAAAGTTTGCATTAGCTGCCTGCTGCAGGTAGCATGCAGGTATCATAGATGGTAAACAAGATTTCCTAGCAAGAATGATAGCTCTCGCACTGTCCTGGATTCCCAGTGGTTATCCCATTTGAAAGACTGGAGATGGAGAGGCATCCCTGAGACATGAGTCTCAGGGCAATGTGGAAGTTTAGAATCGGATTCTGTGCCTATGATATGATGGTAGATTTTCCAAGAGTTAAAATAAAGTAATAAAATAATAAATAAATAAAATACCCCAAAATAGGAGAACCATTTCCCTCATTCTTTTTTTTTTTCCAGATAAGTCAGAAGAATTAAGCTATGATGTAAAAAAATTGACAAAAGTAGAATAGTGTCAATTTTTAATTATCTATGTATAAATTATTTTCGGTGATCCAATATTTCCTTTTTACCTAACCAGGTCTCAGGTGGCTAAGTTAAGACAAGGTCTTACATTTCAGAAGAGGAGAGGAGAGGGAGATTATTTGAGAGGGTTTGACTGTTAGAAGGTATGATTTTAATATTGACCTTTGGGCTATTACTTTCTTTGCAGTGCCATTCCCTCTGCATGTTTTCTTCTTCCTCCTCTTCCTTCTTTTCCTCTTTTTCTCTCTTTCTCACTTTTTCTTTCTCAGGATA